TGATTAGTCGGATAGATCTGCATTACTCATCTGATTATTGCTTTTAACAATTTAAGAATGTGGAATCTGGTGCATGTTGAAATATGAACATTTAATCTGCTATTCATGCGAATTCCCTGTATTATACACTCAAGCGCTGCATTTTTTGTATTTGACTTTTGATGAAGGGGGTATACGAGGTTTACCTATATGCTAGCAGCTTGAATCGCATCATATCCAGCGCTCGTCCCTCTCTTCATATACTGTATTTTTTAAATGTTGGCAACTACATCTTGTGGGACTCACAGTCACACACACAGATTTTGTTGCTGGAGCTGTGAATGGCTTTCTGAGTCCAGGATCAGCATCACTAGTCATCCTAACCCATGGGCACCAATGGGAATTCTCAGTGAGGTGAGGTCTGTGAATTTGGGGGGGGGGGGATTGTGCAAACTGTGACAGACTGAGCTGTGGGTGGGTGGGGGAGGTAATGATTATATTGAGGGCGGTGCTGGTGGTGGTGGTGGTGGGGGGCAAATGATTATACTGAGGGACAGACTGAGCTGTGGAGGGTGTAATAATTATATTGGTGGACAGAATGAGCAAGTGTAAGTGTACTGGGGGCAGACTGACCTGGGGAAGGAAATTGTGCTGGGGGACAGACCGGCTTGGGGGGAGGAGGGGGGTTAATTGTACAGGGGGACAGACTGACCTGAGGAGGGCTCTTATACTGTCTATTAACAGGTCCTATAGCAACTGTCCTCATTCATCACCGCTACCCTATATACAATATACAAGATAAATTATAAGATCAAAGGCAGTGTTTGTGGTCTCTTCCTGATTGGGTACCCTACACTTAGGTCCACATACACACATAATCTTGCACAGTTGTCACAACTGCACTGCCACATTACTGCAGCAATATATACTCCTTAAATTGGTTCTAAAGTCTTAAGGTTTTTTTTTTACCTTAATGTGTTCTCTGAATTAAAGTGGTTGTAAACCCTTACATATACCCAGTGAAGTTACTAACCTCAGGTTACATAGTTACATACATAGTTAGTCTGGCTGAAAAAAGACAAACGTCCATCCAGTTCAACCAGCTGATACACAGAGATAAAATAAATCCTTCTACATAAGTTGTACCTGTTTATCTGCTGTATTCTCTTCTCTACATGTGTTTGAAGTCCAGAATTTATACAGCTTACACTCTATAGAGCTCAGTGAGAGCTGGCTGGAGGGAAACGGACACACCCTTCTTCACAGAGCACACAGGAGCAGAGCTGAGACTGTCAATCTGCTGGAAATCCCTCCCCTGTCACCTTTTCATCTCTTGGTGTCAAGAAGACTTGTCAGAACTGACTCATGCAGATAGCAGAGGAAGGAAGCAGCAGAGAGAAATTACACATTGGATTGAGACAAATACACACTATAGAGGGATAGGCTTTGTTCATATTTTATATCAGAGGTTTACAAACACTTTAAGGTAAAAAAAACCTTCCACTGCGTGTCCCCCCTCCCCCCCTAACATTTAACTTACTCCTGTATTGATCCAGCGCTGTGCTTAGCTGCAGGTCTTCTCCCCATTCCTGGTCTCACAAGCTTTGTTGAGCACAGAGGGAGCCATTGCCTCCTGCTGCTGTGAGTCAAATCCAGTGAGCAGAGAGCTGGTGGCGGGGCCGAGTAGCACTGTGTGTGTTTGTGGACACACACAGCCCGGCTTGGGAGCAAGCCAGCGCATCTGCCCCTATAGCAATTGACTATGAAGAGGTGCAGCCGAGATCGCTGGCAAAGGGCCCCTGAAGAGGAGGTAAGAGGTGGCTCTGTGCAATACTATTGCACAAAGCAGGTAGGTATAACATGTTTATCATTCTAATACAATAAAATAGACTTTACAAATGGTTTAACTTGTGACCACTTCCTCGCACTTGCTGCCATTAAACTAATACGCACATCTGTACTTGCCCCCCTATCACTTATGTGCACTGCTTGCTGACATGACACTGACGCTGACTACCCCACTAATCACCACTGCACTGACATGAGCTTCCTTACTTGTAAAGTCACTGATTCTAACATTCATCCCATTGAGCCAACGGACACATTTTTTCTATTCTTTTTTTTTTAAATAGTGGAATTACTATATCCAATAATGGGCTGTCAGCATCCTGTTCAATAATTATGCTTGCTTGCTGACATCAATATTATCCCTTGCCCATAACCCACAGATGGACCTCACTCTTTACTCCCTGCTTCAACTAAATGTGATTAGGCCGTGCCCTTCAGTCATCAGTTGACTGTGCACCTGATTGGCATTCTCCAGCTATAAACAGAACATCATCGATCTAGCATGCACAATTCAAGTAATGTTTACTTCTGACATAGAGAGTTATGCATGACATAACAGCAGGCTAAACAAGGGTTTGGCTAGTATGCTGCCTGTCATCTGAATGTGTTCTTCAGATCTTTTATCATCTCAAACCCAAATTGTCACTGGGTTTCCTAGCAACCATCCTGAAAAGAAACATGGAAGGATGTAAGGGAACCACAAGCTCCTGGATGATGAAGGGATGGGTTATTGAGGCACTGTAATAAACCCTCTAAAAAAAAAAAAATGCCAACAGACAGGTCCACTTACATGCACAAATTAATACAGCAGCAGTCTGTATCTCTGGAATAATGTATTTGTCTTAGGATGGCTTACATATATAGCATCCCTATAATTAACTGTACAAAGGATATACAAAAACAGCATCTTGTAGGTAGTAGACATTATGTATGTTATATTAGGATTCTTTTGTCATGTGCGGCAACCCATCCCGCCCTTTTGAAAATTGATCTGCAATGTCGCCTCCTCTCCGCCTAATTTAAGCCCTCATGCACACTTGACGTTTTTACAGCTGCTATTTTTGGCTTTTGACATTTTTTTTCTACAGCTAGTAAACCCCCCAGCATGTTATCCTATGTGTCCATGCACACATAGAGTGTAATCAACATTTTTTGGCTGAGGCGTTTTTTGGCTGGAGAAAAAACTAGTGGATCTCTAGAGGAGTGAAAAATGCAGCAAACTGGTGTTTTTGGACTATTTTGACCCCCCAAAAAATTGGGGGGGGGGGTAAAAAAAAACGCTAAAAACTGCAAATGTGGGAAAACTCTGCTAAATGTAGGAAAACTCCGCTAAACGTGGCAAAACGCCGCTAAACACTAATGCAAAAATGCTAAAAAAAACCTGAAAAATTCACGTTTTTAATGTGATTTTACACAGCTAACGTTACCAGCGTTTTCAAAATGTCCAATGTGCATGAAGACTAACCCTAGCAATGCCGAACCACAGCACCACAACCATGTGCATTTCACATGTGCATAGCACACCATTGCAGGGCAATTGTGGCATGGCCTCATACACCTAAATGGGTTAAATGTTTGCCACAAAGCATTGCAGCCATGATATGGATACAGCCCTGAGCAGCTGCATGCCCTTCTTTTACAGTGCCTTGAAAAAGTATTCATAACCCCTGAAATTTTCCACATTTTGTCATGGTACAACCAAAAACATAAATGTATTTTATTGGGATTTTATGTGGCAAAGTGGCACATAATTGTGCCATAATTGGAAAATGATTGAAAACATTTTTTACAAATAAATATCTGCAAAGTGTGGCGTGTATTTGTATTCAACACCCTTTACTCTGATACCCCTAACTAAAATCTAGTGGAACCAATTGCCTTCAGAAGTCACCTAATTAGTAAATAGAGTCCACCTGTGTCTAATTTAATCTCAGTATAAATACAGCTGTTCTGTGAAGCCCTCAGAGGTTTGTCAGAGAACATTAGTGAACAAACAACATCATCATCAAGGCCAAGGGACACACCAGACAGGTCAGGGATAAAGTTTTGGATAAGTTTAAAGCAGGGATAGGTTATAAAAAAAAATATCCCAAGCTTTGAACATCTGACGAAGCACTGTTCGAACCATCATCTGAAAATGGAAAGAGTATGGCACAACTGCAAACCTACCAAGATATGGTCATCAACCTAAAATGACAGGCCGGGCAAGGAGAGCATTAATCAGAGAACCAGCCAAGAGGCCCATGGTAACTTTGGAGGAGCTTCAGAGATCCACAGCTCAGGTGGGAGAATCTGTCCACAGGACAACTATTAGTCGTACACTCCACATATCTGGCCTTTATAGAAGAGTGGCAAGAAGCAAACCATTGTTGAAAGAAAGCTATAAGAAGTCCCATTTACAGTTTGTGAGAAGCCATGTGGGGGACACACCAAACATGTGGAAGAAAGTGCTCTGGTCAGATGAGCCCAAAATTTAACTTTTTGGCCTAAAAGCAAAACACTGTGGTGGGAAAACTAACACTGCACATCACCTTGAACACACCATCCCCACCGTGAAACATGGTGGTGGCAGAATCATGTGGGGATGCTTTTCTTCAGCAGGGACAGGGAAGCCGGTCAGAGTTGATGGGAAGATGGATGGAGCCAAATACAGGGCAATCTTAGAAGAAAACCTGTTAGAGTCTGCAAAAGGCTTGAGACTGGGGTGGAGGTTCACCTTCCAGCAGGACAACGACCCTAAACATACAGCCAGAGCTACAATGGAATGGTTTAGATCAGGGCTTGAAAAAGCCAAATGCGAGGGAAAATCCTTGTGTGGCGAGCACAGATTAAGCAGCTCCACCTGCGCTCCAAGCCTCATTGTGAAGCCGAGTTCCGGTTTCTGACTTCCGGCTTCTTCAGCACCGCCATTACACTGGTAGCGCCACTGAGGGGAAAGGTGCAGGAGAGGTCCGCTCTCCTCCGCTGAGTGGAGACACCCGCTCTCCACCGGCGCGGGGGACTCGAGGAGAGGTCTGCTCTCCCCCGCCGCGGGGGACATGAGGCCCGCCCTACCTGTCCTGCCGATCACAGCCGCGGATGTCAGTCGCCGGGTCACAGCCGGTCGTTACAGGCTGTGTCCCGGCGATTGGCGGCAATCGCTGACAGAGAGCACAGCTGCAGTAGCTGTGCTTTCTGTCAGTTCCTGACAGCTCCAGGACAAGCTGATTGGGACAGAAGAGTTTCTCTCTCCCAATCAGTGGTGTTCCCTGCAGTACACACCCCCGCCCCCTGGTAAAACACTCCCCCTCACACAGTTAACCCTTTCCCTGAAAAATAAACTTAACCCCTTCCTCCCCAGTGCCATTAGTACAGTGTCAGTGTTTTTTTTTTTTTTTTTGCACTGATCACTGTATTGGTGTCACTGGGGATGTCAGTGACCCCAAGTCAGTACCCCCCAATGTCAGAATGTCCGCCGCAGTCCCGCCATAAGTCGCTGATCGCCGCCATAAGTCACTGATCGGTGCCATAAGTCGCCAATCGCCGCCATTATTAGTATAAAAAAAAAAATCCCAGTATCTTTCCTGCCATTTGTAAACGCTATAACTTTCACGTAAACCAATTAATTTACACGTATTGGTTTTTTTTTTAGCAAAGACATGTCGCAGAATGCATTTTGGCAGAAATTTATGACTAAATTTGATTTTTAAATTTTTTTTTACTGGACATGTTTTATAGCAAAAAGTCCAAAATATTGTTTTTTTTCCTCAAAATTGTCAGCCTTTTTTTTATAGCGCAAAAAATAAAAACCGCACAGGCGATCAAATACCACCGAAAGAAAGCTCAATTTGTGGGAAAAAAAAGGATGTAAATTTAATTTATGTACCGTATTGCATGACCGCGCAATTGTCCATTAAACTAGCGCAGCGCTGTATAGTAAAAAAATGGCATAAATTGCAGTATCTATACTATAGTTTGTAGATGCTATAACTGTCACACAAAGCAATCAATATACACTTATTGGGATTTTTTTTACCAAAAACATGTAGCAGAATACATTTTGGCCTAAATTTATAACTAACTTTGAGTTTACTATATATTTTTTATAGCTGAAAGTAAAAAATATTGTTTTTCTTCAAAATGTTTGGCCTTTTTTTGTTTATAGTGTGAAAAATAAAAAGCGCACAGGTGATCAAATACCACCGAAAGAAAGCTCTATTTGTGTGAAAAAAAGTACGTAAATTTTGTTTGGGTGCAGCATTGCATGACCGCGCGCAATTATCAGTTGAATTAGTGCAGCGCCGAGTAACAAAAAGAGGCCTGGTCATTAAGGGGGGTAAATCCTCTGGAGGTCAAGTGGTTAAAGATGCAGGAGATAAACAAAAAAATACAAAATGTTTACTACAGGTTTAAAGCTGTAAAACCTGATATTTTGATTGCACCCTATTGCTATTAAGCTCTTGCTGTTATGTTTAAATTGGCATAATAAAGCTATGTTATAATTGCAGTTTTTTATATTTTGGACTCTTTATTCTAAAGAAAAATGTAATTTCATGAACTTTAATGGGGCGTGGTTGGGGGCAGGGCTGGGGGACGGGCCGGGGGTGAGGTTGGAGGCAGACCTGGGCAGGGTTGGGTGGAGCAACTGGTGGAGAGTAAGGTTTGTGCCTGGCTAGTAGGTCTAGACTCGAAATTTTAAGCCCTGGTTTAGATCAAAGCAGAGGCGCCCCTAGGGTTAGTGTCACCCAGTGCTGTAACACTTGGTGACACCTCCTCCGACGATCCCCGCAGAATGGATCGGATCTGCGGATTGAGCATAATGGACTCTGATCTATTATGCTCAATCCGCAGATCCGATCCATCCTGCGGGGATCATCAGCTTTCTTTACAACTTACCTTTTCTTGAAGCGGGTCCAGTGTCACCCCGTTTAGGTTGCATGCCGATGATCCCCGCAGAATCGTCGACATGCAACATATACAGGGTGACACCGGACCCACTCCAAGAAAAGGTAAGTTGTAAAGAAAGCCAACGATCCGTTTAGGAGATATTTACTTTTGCAGCAGTAAGTTATGCCACTGGCGCATGCGCTCTGAAGGAACGGCATACCAGTGCCATTCCTTCAGAGCTCTGTGCCATGGCCATGACTCCCGCACACATGTGCGGGAATGACATCATCATGGCTTAACCATATGGCTGAAGCCTGAGAACCCTGAAGGAAGATGGAAGGTGAAAATGGAAAACGTCGTAGCCCGTGACAGCGTGCTGCTGGGGGGCTTCGGTTTCAAGTAAGTCTGTCATAATGTGCTAGTATGTGGTGCATGACACAAATGCATTGGGAACACTACACATTCTATTCCAAATCAAAACATGAAGAAAAATATATCAAATTTGTGTTGTTCCTCTAAAACAATTGAAGAAAAGTGAATATTAGACTGTTCAAAAAAATAGCAGTGTTTGTATTCTTCTTTTACAAGCTCAAACATTCACTATATGAACTGAAAATGTTTGAAGATGTTGCTTTCCTTTGAATCACTAATATTTAGTTGTATAAGCACTGTTTCTGAGAACTGCTGTACATCTGTGTTGCATGGAGTCAAACAACCTCTGGCACCTGTGAACAGGTATTCCAGCCCAGGATGATTGGACTACATTCCACAGTTCTTTATTTTTGATTTTGCTCAGAAACTGCATTTTTGATGTCACCCCACAAGTTTTCTATTGGATTAAGATCCGGGGATTGGGCTGGCCACTCCATAACGTCAATCTTGTTGGTCTGGAACCAAGATGTTGCATGTTTACTGGTGTGTTTGGGGTCGTTGTCTTGTTGGAACACCCATTTCAAGGGCATTTCCTCTTCAGCATAAGGCAGCACGACCTCTTCAAGTATTCTGATGTATTCAAACTGATCCATGATCCCTGGTATGCGATAAATAGGCTCAACACCATAGTATGAAAAACATCCCCATATCATGATGCTTGCGCAACCATGCTTCACTGTCTTCACAGTGTACTGTGGCTTGAATTCAGTGTTTGGGGGGTCGTCTGACAAACTGTCTCCGCCCACTAGACCCAAAAAGAACAATCTTACTTTCATCAGTCACAAAAAATGTTGCGCCATTTCTCTTTAGGCCAGTCAATGTGCTCTTTGGCAAATTGTAACCTCTTCAGCACGTGTCTTTTTATCAACAGTGGGACTTTGCGGGGGGCTTCTTGCAGATAGCTTGGCTCACATAGGCGTCTTCTAATTGTAACAGTACTCACAGGTAACTTTAGACCTTCTTTGATCTCCTGGAGCTGATTGTTGGCTGAGTCCTTGCCATTTTGGCTATTCTTCTATCCATTCGAATGGTAGTTTTTCACTTTTTTTCAAGTCTTTCAGGTTTTGGTTGCCATTTTAAAAGCATTTGCGGTCATTTTAGCTGAGCAGCCTATCATTTTCTGCACTTCTTTATATGTTTTCCCCCTCTCCAATCAACTTTTTAATCAAGGTATGCTGTTCTTCTGAACAATGTCTGGAACGACCCATTTTCCTCAGAATTTCAGAGAGAAATGCACTGTAACTAGCATGTACAACATTTGCTGCCTTCCTTCCTTAAATAAGGGCAATAATTGCCACCAAGTTTTTCAAAGAATGAATGACCTCACTAATAGAACTCCCCACTGCTATTATTTTGAACATGCCCCTTTCAATTAGTGATTCAATTACACAGAATCAGCAGCATGCATGCCATGACTGTTGGGTCTGTTGGATTTCTATTACTCTACTACACCTGCTAGTAAATTATTTGCCATGTAGAAATATCATTTCTACCAAAAACAGTGATTGATCAGGTTAGTGATGTCTGACTGCTATTATTTTGAACACAACTGTATATTGCTATCATATCTCCTCTCCAGCGTCTCTTCTCCAGGGAAAATAAATTTAGTGTTTGTAGTCATTCCTCGTAACTGAGGTCCTCCAGTCCCCTTCATAGCTTTTTCGCCCTTCTCTGGACTCTCTCCAGTTCCAGCACATCCTTCCTGAGAACTGGACGGCATACTCCATGTGTGGCCAAACCAGAGTTTTTTAGTAAAGTGGGAAAGTTATAGTCTAATCTCTAGAGTAAATACCTTTTTTAATGCATGTAATATTCTGCTAGATTTGCTTGCTGCAGCATGGCATTGCATGCCATGGCTGAGCCTGTGGTCTACTAAGACTCCCAGATCTTTTTCCACCTGGGAATCCTCCATTGGCTCTCCACCTAGTGCGTAACTTGCATTCATATTTTTGGCCCCCAAGTGCGTTATTTTACATTTTTCGGCATTAAACCTCATTTGCCATGTAGTTGCCCACACACCTTAATTTTTTTTTTTTATTTGTTATACTAGTCTAAAATTTAAACCGCTTCCCTATAGCAGAAATAATGCTACAGGGTGGCAATGCTGCGCAAAATCACACACATATATATATATATATATATAATATATATATATATATACGTGATTTCAGATTTCCAGGTAGGGGGCGCACTGCCATTCGCAGCTACAGCTGTCGATTACCAGGTCTCGGAAGGTGATTCCCCGCCTGCGCTCGCCAAGTATCACTGACGGGGGAGAGGTCTGTATGTAAACAATACAGATCTCTCCCCTGTCAGCTCCAGCAGGCTGCTTTGTATTGCTTTGCATAGCAGAGCAATACAAAGTAGTGTGCTTACACAGTTAAACTCACACAGCACACAGTTAACCCTTTGATTGCCCCAGATGTTAACCCTTTCCTGCCCAGTGTCATTAGTACGGTGTCAGTGCTTTTTATTAGCATTGATCACTGTATTAGTGTCACTGGGGATGACAGTGACAGTTAGTCAGCTCCCCCCCCAGTGTCAGAATGCCTCCAGTCCCACAGTCCCGCTATAAGTTGCTGATCGCCACCATTAGTAGTAATAAAAATAAAATAAAAATTCCCAGTATACATACCACCATTTGTAGATGCCATAACTTTCACACAAACCAATTAATTTACACTTATTGGGATTTTTTTTTAGCAAAGTCGTGTAGCAGAATATATTTTATCCTAAATTTATGACGAAATTAAATTTTTAAAAAAAATTTTTTATTGGATATGTTTTATAGCAAAAAAGTAAAAAATACAGGTTTTTTTTTTTCAAAATTGTCGGTCTCTTTTTTGTTTATAGCGCAAAAAGTAAAAAACACAGAGGCGATCAAATACCACCGAAAGAAAGCTCCAGGACATAAATTCTATTTGGGTGCAGCGTTGCATGACCGTGCAAATGTCAGTGAAAGTAACACAGCGCCGTATCGCAAAAAAAAAAATGACCTGGTCAGGAAGGGGGGTAAATCTTCTGGATGGGAAGTAGTACTTACAGATAAAATATACATTTATTTCAGTAGCTTGCATAATACAGGCCTGACATGAATGTGTCCACTATCTCTGCTACAGGTTGGCATGCAAAGCTCCCTTGCACAGCATCTTCAGAAGCAGTTATGCACTACTGTGTCTGCTAGCCACTGGCTGGCACTGCCCCTACCTTTACCCTGCCTTTTTGTGTGAATATGATTGCAAATCAGTAGGTTTGGAGATGGAACCTGCCCCTCCTCCATCTCTTCCCTCCTTCTAGTCACTGCTTCAGCATCCCACTCACATCTTCCAGAGAGAGGAGAGGGAGAGTACAGCCTGCAGTCCCAAGGAAGGAGGGCAGTGTGGGTGTCAATGAGGACTGGATTTGGCGTTAGGATATGAAAGACTGAAGGTATAATGGTCTCACACATCCACCTGCACATATGACACATCCTTCCTATGTTGCAAGCAGAAAACACAAGGATTGCAGCTGTAAGAAGAGCCCTGAAGGTACTGTATACTATCTGTGATATATTTAATGGCTTTGTCAATGGATGTTATATAGACTGTCTACAGCAAATGGTTTAACAAAGTCTGTGAAATAGATGTTTAACGGAACAAGAAGACAAACAGGCCTTGTCTACAGCAGAATATTGGATCTCTGTATGCGAATATGCAACAGAGGAAATCTTTGCCTTTAAGGGAAGAAATATATATTTACTGTTGCTGTAATGAGTGACATTATCCTAACATTATAATATCATATTCTGATTGACAATCCAACAATCTGAGCATAAAAAAGAGCTATTTTACCCATGATTAGTTCTGTACATAGCTTAGAATGCATATAAAGACGCTATATTATCAGCCTATGTTAGAATTGTAAGCATCAGAAAATCCATGCATAGAGATCCACAAAAAGCAGAAAATCCATGCACAGAGATCCACAAAAATTCATGAACAGAGATCTACAAAAATCAGAAAATCCATGCACAGAGATCCACAAACATCAGAAAATCATACACAGAGATCCACAAACATCAGAATATCCATGCACACATCCATTGCTGTGGCTGACATTTTTTTGTACATACAATATTTACAAATCCAGGGCAAATATTTACCAAGCTTCAATGTAAATATTCATTTGATTTGCCTTATTTATATAAAGCTGTACTCCTATGTTTTTGTGTGGTTGAATCGCCTTTTCTCATTTTTCCTATTGATAATGTGGGAGTATCTCTCCTTTAACCGAGACAGGGAAAATACAGAATCACATAGATTTGAAATGAGTACTACATATTTCAGATGTATTTCCTCTGGAACGCAGAAGGTCTTGCCTTGTATGCATTCATCAGTCCCTGTGCAATGTATGTGACATAATGTGATGCCACATGTTGCAGGCCTCCATAATTGTCAGACATTCACAGCAGATGATTGTAGGCTAATCTTAGAAGGCAGTGATGCATCATGTCCATACCTCACATTCAAAAAAAAAGCAGAAAATTCATCCCTGCAACACAACAATCATGTTCCTAAAATTCTACAAGCCATGCAAAAAGAAAATATTAGAAAATATCATCAATGTGCAATAGATTTTTGATGAAGATAGTATTTTTTGGTCTTCTATTTATTTTTGTCGCATTTCTATATATTTTATTTGGCCATTGGTTCTTATTATTCCTCAATTCATGACATCATTGTGTACGTTATGTTTTTACATCTTGCTGTTATTCTTCCTTTACACATCAGATCCATGTCTTTGTGCTGTACTGAATTCCTATAAACCTTCTTTGTGTGTGAAACGGTACATTTATTTGCAGGTAGTTTTGTCATGACAAAGGCTTTATATGCATATATATACATATCTGTTGTACTGGCTTTCTGCCCTGACAGGCCTCATTTGATGGCTGTTTCCATGGAAACGGCACATTTTCTATCTTCAGTTTTTGTGACAGGTCTGATGGTTTCTCACTGCTGTGCGAGACACATTCAGCACACAAGATGGAGCTCCCCTCTCTTAGATTCTCATGACTATGCCTGTATCCGTTAGTCTACCGCCTTCTTTTATTTCCTTTATATGCATTTGATCATTAGCATTTGAGGCGACTGAGAAAAAAAAATTTTCAAATGTAAAAAACGATATGCTGTGAGTAATTAGAAAATTTGTATTTGCGATGAAAGTAATGTTAGGTGAATTGAAAACTGGGATCCATGTAAAATATATAAGGCTGTGCTAAAAAGGGGGTGTAGTCCATAAGCAGCAATATGTATAAGTCCTTTGTGCAGTCACACAATATTTCACTCCACTGCTCAGTATAATTAGTTTTAAAACATATACGGCAATCACAGAAAAGCAAATCCACTTTACTATACACAGCACAAGGAGAACAGAAGAGAAAAAACCCCTCAGCAATAAATTGCAGCCAGTCCTTGAAATGGACATGAACATGGCAGGGTGGAGTCAAAACATAAACGTCTTGAATGGGAGAGACAAACACATGGCTAGCTTTCCTATACAACAACTGTGATCTTTACAGTGTATGTACAGTCATGGCCGAAATTGTTGGCACCCTTGATATTTCTCCAGGAAATCATGTATTTCTCACGAAACGTATTGCATTAACACATGTTTTGCTATACACATGTTTATTCCCTTTGTGTGTATTGGGACAAAACAAAAAAAGGGAGGAAAGAAAGCAAATTCGACATAATGTCACACAAACCTCCAAAAATGGGCTGGACAAAAGTATTGGCACCCTTTCACAACTGCGGATAAATAAGAATGTTACAAGCATGTGATGCTCCTGTAAACTCACCTGGGGCAAGTAACAGGTGTGGGCAATATAGAAATCACACCTGAAAGCAGATAAAAAGGAGAGACGTTCACTTAACCTTTGCATTGTGTGTCTGTCTGTGCCACACTAAGCATGGACAACAGAAAGAGGAGACGAGAACTGTCTGAGGACCTGAGAACCAAAATTGTGGCAAAATATCAACAATCTCAAGGTTACAAGTCCATCTCCAGAGAACTAGATTTGCCTTTGTCCACAGTGCGCAACATTATCAAGAAGTTTGCAACCCATGGCACTGTAGCTAATCTCCCTGGTCGTGGACGGATGAGGAAAATTGATGAAAGATTGCAACGCAGAATAGTCCGGATGGTGGATAAGCAGCCCCAAACATGTTCCAAAGACATTCAAGCTGTCCTGCAGGCTCAGGGAGCATCAGTGTCAGCGCGAACTATCCGTCGACATTTAAATGAAATGAAACGCTATGGCAGGAGACCCAGGAGGACCCCACTGCTGACACAGAGACATAAAAAAGCAAGACTACAGTTTGCCAAAATGTACTTGAGTAAGCCAAAAGCCTTCTGGGAAAACGTCTTGTGGACAGATGAGACCAAGATAGAGCTTTTCGGTAAAGCACATCATTCTACTGTTTACCGAAAACGGAATGAGGCCTACAAAGAACAAAACACAGTACCTACGGTAAAATATGGTGGAGGTTCAATGATGTTTTGGGTTGTTTTGCTGCCTCTGCACTGGGTGCCTTGACTGTGTGCAAGGCATCATGAAATCTGAGGATTACCAAAGGATTTTGGGTCGCACTGTAGGGCCCAGTGTCAGAAAGCTGGGTTTGCGTCCAAGATCCTGGGTCTTCCAGCAGGACAATGACCCCAAACATACGTCAAAAAGCACTCAGAAATGGATGGCAAAGAAGCGCTGGAGAGTTCTGAAGTGGCCAGCAATGAGCCCAGATCTAAATCCCATTGAACACCTGTGGAGAGATCTTAAAATTGCTGTTGGGAAAAGGTGTCCTTCCAATAAGAGAGACCTGGAGCTGTTTGCAAAGGAAGAGTGGTCCAAAATTCCGGGTGAGAGGTGTCAGAAGCTTATTGATGGTTATAGGAAGCGACTGATTTCAGTTATGTTTTCCATTTTTGGGGGTTTTGTGTGACATTATGTCATATTTGCTTTTCTGCCTCTGTTTTATATTTGTTCCAATACATACAAAGGGAATAAACATGTGTATAGCAAAACATGTGTTAATGCAATACCTTTTTTGTGTGAAATACTTGATTTTCAGGAAAAATATCAAGGGTGCCAACAATTTCGGCCATGACTGTAACTTTAAGGCTGGCCACACATTATACAATTTTCTTGTACAATTTTCCCTTAACTTTACTGAAACCATATAATATAAGGTCAAACACTTTCAATTTGTATGCAAATCAGGCAGGCCCTGGAACTACATAGTTGAAGGTAAATGTAATGGAAATTGAATAAGAAAATTGTATAATGTATGGCCAGCTTAACGATAAGGGGTTGATTTACTAAAACGGGAGAGTGCAAAATCTGGTGCAGCTCTGTACAGAAACCAGTTGATTTACTAAAATTGGAGAGTGCAGCTGGTGCAGCTCTGCACAGAAACCAGTCAGTTTCCAGGTTTTTTTGCAAAAGCTTGATTGAACAAGCTGAAGTTAGAAGATAATTGGCTACCATGCAGAGCTGCACCAGATTTTGTACTCTCCACTTTTAGCAAATCAACCCCTATG